CGACAAACACGAGATACAATGGCGAGTTCCACTCCTGCAACTGCTCAACCAGTATGCGCAAGGTGTTAATTTGGTCTATGCATGACTTATTTGGTCGGAAGCCCGCTTGCTCCCCACGCAGATGCGGCTCTAGAGCTGTAGATACTTTTTTAAAGATAATGAACGCCATAAGCTTATTTATCGACGTAAGCAATGTTATTCCTCTCCAGTTATTACAGAGACTAAGGCTGCCCTTCTTTGGGAGTTTTATAATTATACCTTTCTTCCAGTCCGAGGGCAGCTCTTCTTGGTTCCATGCCATTGCTACAATGGATTGCAGAAACTTCGCAGTGGTTGAACTGTCCGCAGAGAAAAACTCGGGTGGAACCCCATCTATTCCTGGAGCTTTACCACCTTTGAGACTTTGGATGGCAGTCTTGATCTCCGCAGATGAAGGAGGATCAATTTTGATCTTTAATTCGCCACCTTCAGGTGCTCTTGCATCATTATCCATCTGATTTTCTGTTTGCTCTGCTGTGGGGGCCGCAGCCTGGACAAGAACTTCTGTAAAATATTCTGTCCAGCGTTCCAGCTGGTCGTCCTTAGATGTTAGGAGAGCTTCATCTTTCGCTTTTAGCGGAGGAGAGTTAGCAAATCTCCTTCCAGACAGCTTTTTAGTTATGTGATAAAGTAACTTTGTGTTGTTGCTTTCAGCTGCTTGTTGCGCTAGGGCCGCCAGGTTGTTAATCCACGCCCGTTTGTCCCTTCTCACGCTTCTCTTAACTTCCTTGTTTAACTGCGCGTGCTTCTTTCCAAGATCAATTCTCTCTCCTAGAGCTGCGCTGTATTGAATAGGGCTTTAACAGACTTTCTCTCATCTATTATGTTCCACGACTCTTGGGAAATTCACTCCTCTCTAGAGTTTCGTCTATAGCCCACAGCTGCTTCACCTGCGCTGATAAATGCGGTCTTTAGTAGCTTCCAGCTGTCATCAAGATCTCTTGGGGCGGTATGCTGCGTTTCATATGTCAACGCAATTAGGCTTTGCACAAAGTTCCTTTTGACCTTCTTTTGCTTCAGGCTATCCACCAGGAATCTTCTTGGCGCCTTACTAGTAAGTTTGGGTTTGATTGCAGCAAGCTTGACTCTGACAACGCCTACCACAAGGTGATGGTCGCTTGCCATATCTGCACCACGCCGGACTTTTACGTCTAAGAGGGATCTTCTCCATTTCCTGCTTACCATTATGTGGTCGATCTGGTTCTGTGTGCGTTGGTCTGGCGACGTCCAAGTATTCTTATGTATTTCCCGGTGAGGAAACACAGTTCCGCCAATAACAAAATCAAAACTCGCACACGCTTCTATTAGTCGTTCGCCGTTGTCGTTCCTGCTACCCGTGCCATGTTGCCCCATCACCAGTTCCAAGCCTGCGTTGTCTGCACCTTTGCATTTAGGTCTTCCATAACTATGCAAAGGTCCGCTTTCCTAATTCTGCGTAGACATCCGTAAAGTGTGTCGTAAAAATTATCTTTGTCTTCAGGCTCTGCTACTTCCATTGGGGCATAACACTGAACAATGGATACGTTCCGTGCTCGACCTCTAAGACGGGCTAGGATGATGCGGTCAGAGATCGGCCGCCACTCGATGAGGCTCTTCCTCATATTCCCGCTCAGCATTATCCCAACACCACCAGATCTGGGTTCGCCACTTGGCGTATATAAATAATCTACCATCGTTAGTCGTCATTTCACCGCTATCTGGCCACCTTGTCTCGCACAGTCTTAAGATATCCAGCCTATAGGTCTCTATTTTCCTGCAAACTTGAGCCAAGCGGGAGGCCTCCAGCAAAGTTCAAATGTTCTATGTTCTAAATCTAGTCCGAGTTTTCGTTCCAAAGGTCGTCAACTGTTGTTCCGTCCGGCTATCCTTCGTGTTGGTTTCTGTAATAGGTGTAGGTTTAAGATGAGCGGGTTATTAGCCCACGGCACCCGATCTCGCTGGCGGGGCTGCCACCTTACACTGGCTGAGAACAACAGGTTTTCTGTCAGGGTTTTCCTTCCCTTAGTCAAAATGGTCCCGTTTTAAGGCGCCGGACACTCGCCTTTACTCTCCTCCGTTAGCTACAGCCAGGCTGCACCTAGGGGGCACGCGACATTCACTAGGTGGAGTGTGAAGTCTTCGTGGACGTGGAGGTAGGATTTGCTGGTATTGCCAAAACAGCTTGAGCATTACTCCACATTTATTATGCATATTTGACATCTGCAAACCACGTAGAGACCCTATACCAACCTTGACCCCCCAAACACCCTGTGTTAATACCGAATAAAGACCGACTTATCGAACTTGTTATGGAACAGGTACACCGTACAGTCACACCCAGATAGACGCACGCTCCAGTAGTTGCTCGCCCATCAGTTGGATAATCGGAGGGCATCGCGCGATCCGACGCGTCCTCGCCGGTTGATATCAACGTTTCGATTAGCGGTGTAGATTTCGCGGGACCGTTCTCGATAGTTCCTCGTCGGGCTCGTGGAGTCCCCTCCTTCAAGGCTTATGTATGCCTCTCCGTCTGGGTGAGTCGTTTGGGTCGATGGCAGCTGGTACAGTGGACCGCGGCCAATCACCTCGACGTGGGATTTTTGGTGCTTATCAAAGATGATAACGCGTCCCCCTTGCGTTGGAAACGCGGCCGTGTGGAAGCGCTACATTTTGGTAGCAATGGCGTCCCGCGTGTCGCCACGGTCCGGGTGGCGGACAGCTCGATCTTGCGCCCCTTGGTAAAATTGTGCCCCTTGCCGATGGGCACACTATCACGGGCCACGGATTTGGAGTAGTAAAATACAATTAAAATTATTGTATTTTAGTGGGCGGTATGTTTGGAGCTCACGTCTATATAGTTGCTGCGTGTACATATTAGTCGCTAGTGACTCGCGCGGAACGTTGGCGGATCGCGATCGTTAGCATGTCAATATTTCGCGCGACTCATCCGACTCGTGCTGCCCGCCCGCGGATGGCCCACCCAATTACTGGAGCTATTGGTACTCGCTCGCGCCGCAATTCGCAGGTGCGCGAGCCGGAAGAGTGCCGGAGCACTCATCACTAAGTCATCAGAGAGGACATACCAGCCTCTAAGACACTCTTATTTCGGAGGTGATCGAGTCCACACTCACATTTTCGGACATCACCGAGTCTACTTGTTTATTAACGTGCCTTGCTTGCTTGCCTCGTCTGCCTGCACATCTTGCTTGCCTCGCCTGCCTGCACTGTCTTGTTTGCCTGCCTTTTGCCTGCCTGCTTGTCTTCTCGCAATCACGGAGGGCTTGCTGCGAGACGGAAGGACAAGAACGACGAGAAAGCACCACCCGAGAGGGCACCGGGCAACGAACGGTGAGTCGCTTGTTTTCGCTTGTTTTCGTTTTGCATTACGTTACATATCGCGAGGGGCTCACCTTTCTGGTCCTTCGAAAACCAGCATTTAGATTAATTCGCAAATCCGGGGACAGTCTTACACTCCCCCGAGCACCTTAACAAAATTATAATATTACAAAAAATTATTTTAATCACAAAGAATTTAAGAGGTAACAGTACAAAATAAAAATATTTAATTAAAATAAAATAAATAAATTTTTTGTATTTTTGTAAAATAAATAAATAAAACGTGACGATTAATCCGACAAAAACTAATGGTCGAATTGTCACGACATTGCCAAATCGCAATGTCGGCAAATATTCCGATATAAGAGAGATAGATGTACCACGATAAGATATAATACAGATCACTCTTTCGTTGCATCATGATCGTGCCAACGTTTGTCGATCTGTAAGGATTCATCGTTAGGATGAGATTTGTCGTAAAGGAGGTAGCGGTACTGAGAAACGGGACCGTTCTGGCGCATTACATCTTTACATGCCCCATGCCGTGGAATCTTCTCACAAAATCCGACAAGTCATATGCTTCCTGGTTGATTGCAAATCACCATGGATTACCATGGGATGACGGAAACGTGCCGTACAGGATAATAAAACGCCTAATTACGTCAGCCGTGCTTGGTACAGAAGAGGATGACGAGACGCTGGCTCTCGTGTATGTTAAGGGATGCCAGAAACAAAAATGGCTGGTGGATCTGCTTGAAAATTATGCAAGAGAAAACTTGATCATCGAGACTTTGGTTGCGGATATCGAATCTTTAAATAATCTAAATGTTACTAACACTATACGATGCGGAAAACATGTTAAAAATTGCGCATTACAAAATGTATTAAAATTATTTAACTGATGGTCGCGACGCCAGAAAGAATTGCGATCTTTTTAAGAAATAAATTATATAGATATTTTTACAATGCTTTATTTTCTTTTTCTCCTTTTCCATTAGTTGTTAGTAGTTGATACATGTTCGAAAGATGTTATCGTGCTTTTTAACGTTGTCCGAGTGCCTCCTCCTCTCTCCTAATTTTCCCCACCACATCATAATTTTGAAGCAGCGCTGACATTGGCGCTTGAAAATTCGAGACTTCCCCACTTCCTTCTCTCTCTTACGTGTAGAGGGAAAAGTTTCCGAGAAAAGTTATTTCATACTGTAAACACCTAGAAAAATCTAGAGCTTTCTAATTTTTCATCTGCGCGCGCCGTCCAATTTTTTCTAAAACGTTGCAAACGAAGTTAACGTTTTAACTAGTGTTACGAAGTTTAAAGGTGCGATTTCACGATGACGCTCGACGCTGGATTCGAGCGTCAAATCTGGTCACGTGATAGATTTTTTAATTTCCGCGTCGAGTGAAAAAGCTAAACTGTGTTTAGCTTTGACGCTCGACGCTCAAAGGGGTTTTTTTCGTGGCGTCTGCGGCTGAGGACTAGTAGGTGGCGTGCCTTCAATCCAGTGGTTAGGTTATATTTCGCGTCCCTCTGAATTTTTAAACAAATACTACGTTTACGCGAGCATTATTTCTGTAGTAACTTGCGATAATTCACTCGTTTACGCGGAAGAAATTATTGTAAGTTACTACAAAATCCCGTTTACGCGAAGGAAAATCCTGTTTACGCGTGAAGGAATTATCGTATTACTAAAGAAGTAACGCTCGCGTAAACGTAATAAAAGGCCTGTTTGTTACGCAGTCACATTGATTTCGGTATTATTTTAAATATCTATTATAATAAAGAGCAAGATGGATTCCCAAGAGGTAAATATAAAAATTATAATGGTATTAATCTAACCTCCAAATATGTTTTTTTTTTACAGAAAAAATAGAATAATTAATGACATTTTTTTTACGTATATTTAGCAAATTCGTGTTGTGTATACTTGTGGTTTGTGCGAAGAAATTTGCGAGAAGATTCCAGGCCATCCCTGTCTAGAGGGTTACACCAGGCTTTACATTGACCAGAATCACTACTTTTACCCCATGCTAGGTATGTGATGTATAATTGTTTTTATTTTAAAGTTAATTAGGCAAATGAACAACAAAAATTAATTTTACAGATGATGGAAAAAGTATCGTCAGGCGGAGTATGATGCCAGGCAACAAAGAGGCAATCGTTATGGATAATCAGGAGAATTTAAGTCCGAATATCCGTAAGTAAACAACATGTCACGAATTTTAGAATATAATTTTGCTAAAACTTTTGGCTGTGTCCGCTTATCCGGCAACGCATGTGAATAAACGTCCGTTTTTCGTTCGGCAAAATCCTCTTTAATTTAGTCAATATATTTACGGACATTAATATATTAATGTCCTGGCAGGCAAGAAAAGATCTATCGTCCCTCCGTTCTTTTTATTGTCCACATATTTTTACGTATTTGCCGGCGTTTTTAGCACATCCAGTTATCCCCGCAAACAATGCGGGGACCTGATCAAACAATTTTTTTCGGCTTTGCCGCGAATTTATTCTGTCAATCCAAGATTGAAATAATAATATTACTGTATTTTGTTTTCTCCCATGTTGCTTTTACTATCAAATCAAGTCTTACGAAAGTAATTGGACGTTTGCCGATGATTACGATAAAATTATATTTTAAAAAAAATTTCGCAAATAAAAAATAAGAATATAAATGCTAAACATTAATTCAACGGTATGGTTCAATAGAAAATGATAAATGTCAATAAGTTAACGTAATTTTATACAATAATTAGAAATTTTAATGTTTTATTGCAAATTAATATTTTGTGGATAAATTTCCAGAATTCACATTTTTAATATATAATATTTAAAAAAATACCAGTAAAATTAATGTGATTTTGTACAGTAATAAGAAATTTTAACATTTTATTACACATTAATATTTAATGTATAAGTTATTCAAAACTTATTACCAATGTAAAGTTTAAAATGTAAAACATTAAAATTCCTGAATACTACATAAAGGTATATTTTCGTACTAAACATTTTATTATTTAATACTGAATCGTTAAAATTTATATTTTTATATTTTATGCACAAAGTGAACTGTGATTAAGAACTTATTAAGAACTTCGTAGTTTATCATGTTGACACAGTCTGACACACACGGTTTCTAAAATCAAATGACGATAATATTTATGGATTAGAATAGATACACGAACATACAATGCCCAAATGAGAGATCTGCCGTTCAAGCACGAGAGATGTAAGTCGAGATGTAAGCTTGCGGGATAGACAAGCCAAGCCGATTCATTACCTCGGTTTCATTATCAATGGGCTCTAATTTAACCGGGCTACCTGCCTAATTAACTTTCTGCCCCGTGCAATGTATCGCGCGAGTAAAAACGGTCCCAGTCAGGATCGTACGAGGGGAGAGTGGTTTCCACTTACCCTGCCTGTCTGTCTTATCCCGTCTCATTGCAGAGATCACTGTCCTGGCAAAATCCCCTTAAATTTAGTCAATATTTACGGACTTTATATTCGGACATTAATATATAATTATTCGTGCGGTTGCCGCACAACCAGACACTTATTAGAAAATTTTTTGAGAATGACAAATCCTTGTAATTCGTCATTTTGCAGCTGAACCGGTCAGACTCTCCAAAAAATCGACTGGAGTACCCATCGCGAAAACTGCCCGAAACAAAAAACTGACCGATGTAGAAGTGGAACTTCTCATCCTGGAAGTGCAGAAACGGACTCCTTTATGGGATATCTCATCACCGTTGGAGAAAAGAAATCGAGAGACTGTACGGCGTCTCTGGAATGAAGTCTCCGTAGAACTGAATGGTGAGGAATAATATGTCTCTTCACATAAGTGATTTGAGCCTCGTCTTGATTGTAATTTACCGTTATAGGCAAACTAGATGGAGCAGAAGCTCAAAAAAAATTTAAAAGCTTGCGAGACACATTTCGAAAATTTGTTCAAACTGAGCAGCATGCCAGCGGTTCCGCAAGACCTGACATCAAGGAGAAGTGGAAATATTACGACACGATGGAATTTCTGCGCGATTCTTGCCTGTTACGACCGTAATACTTCTTTCTTTAAATCTTATTAGTGTTGGTTTTATAGTAATAATTATTATTATTACAATTTTTTTGGTAGAACCCACACAAATGTGAGTCAGGATTTGCAAGAAGAAGCTGATCATACAACTACACCAAATGATGACGACAGAGATGACATTAGCACCACAATATCAAGTATGGGAAATTCATAGATATTTCAATATAAAAATCGTGCAAATTAGAAACTTGCACGTTGCATCATTATTTTATTTCGATCATAAAAAACCTCTCTGAACAAGAGGATCTTTCAATTTTTGTTTCCTCCTGGAGGAAGCTTTGAGAACGAAATTGATTTGAACTGATGAGAAAGCAATGGCAAGTTTCTAATTTGCACGCTTTTTTTATAAAGTTTGCAGGAAAAATAAGTTTTTTACAAATCTCAATCCCCTGAAAATCTAAATTTTCTTAGCAATTTTATATATACATATCTTTTATGATGCTGTATTAGCGTACAAAAATGTAGCCAGCTATCACAGAACTTTCCAGCGTAAAAACACATATTCTGAAAACTCGAACCTCCTTAAAATGTTTCATCAATTTTCTTAAGGTCAAATACCAATATCCTTCAATTTCTTTCTTTTTCTTAGAGTAAACAGAATAATAATAATAATAATAATAATAATAATAATAATAATAGCAATAGTGATAATAATGGCAATGATGATTATGTTACAGCTTCAGCAGACTCCCATAATAGAAGATCTCGCAGAAACACAGTCACAGATGAAGAATCTGCAAGCGCAATAAATAGAATCGCAGATGCCTTGTCTAGAGAGGAGTCAAATGTCGTTTTACCAGCGCCCCCTCCATCGGATGAAGTTGACGCCATGTTGCATGCAGCAGGACTTCAATTGCGTCGACTACCGTACGCGAGGCGGATGGAAACACTTTTGGACATCGTACAAATGGTTCACACTCGAGTGATGAATAAGGAAACGCAATAAAACGAATATCGAGGAAATGCAATAAAAACATATTTTTGTTTAAAATATAGTTTATACATTACATATAAAAATGTAATAGTTTAATATATTAATATGACATTGAAGCGTGCAATACAAGTGCCAAATTCAGTTGTGATTTTTATTTAATCCTTTACCTATAATGAAACTGCAACGGGTGCTTCAAATTTCTTTACAGCAGAATATTTACATAACCGAACAGAGAGTGTATTAAAAATAAAGTATTAATCCTACATAAAATGTACTAAGCTATTCCATCATCGCTCAAATTAAAGGGTTTTAGTTACGATTATATTGCCAGGGAACAGCTCCTTCTCCATTGAAAAAATTAGAAAATTCTTCCCTAATAGCTATGGCAGATCGGCTACTGTTATGGTTACCGTAAATACTAACATCTTGGAGTGCCGAATCCCCTACTTCTTGTCTCCAAGATGCAGAAATTAAATCGTTAGAACCATATTGATCACCCGTATTTGGTGAAATATATTCATTTGTATCGTCACGCTTTCGAAGCCAATTATGGAGACATATAATGGCCTTAATCATGTTAATTGTGTTATCAACAGTAGCATTGATGGGTCTTTTAAGAATTCTCCACTGACTGACCAATATTCCGAAGGCATTTTCAATAGTTCTTCGAGCACGGCTGAGACGATAGTTAAAAATACTCCAATCTTGGCTAAGACCTCCTCTGCCAGGATACGGCCGAAGTAAGTAATCACTTAGTTGAAATGCTTCGTCACCGACAAGAACATACGGCAAAGGCATTCCATCGTCTGTCAGCCGTTCTGGTTTCGGTAAACTCATTTGTCTCTCGTTGAATTTTTGGCCCATTATGGAATCTCTAAAAATTCCGCCATCACTGCGACGGCCATAGGCACCTATTTCGACTAACGTGAATATATATTTGGCATCACAGATTCCCAACAATACAATGCTGTGAGCATTTTTGTAATTGAAATATGCAGAGCCAGCATTGTCAGGACACTACAAAAAAATATTATTCACTGATGCAATTTATCATTCTGTGAGAAGGCAACTCGGGATGATTAAACTGTTTAATATTTCTACATACCTCAATTAATATATGTTTCCCGTCAATAGCACCTATACAATGATTGAACTGCCATTGATTTTCAAATTCTTGAGCAATGTTCAACCAGTCTGTTGTTTTCAATGGAAACGGCAGTACTTCTTTGCTGAGACAATTCCAAAGGGCTTCGCATGTTTCCCCAATAATGTTACTTGCTGTAGTAAACCCAACAAGATACTGGTAAGCAGTCGAAGTCATGCAGTCACCTGTTGCCAAGTATCTGCATATAATTCATTAGTTTTAACAATGTAGACAATCGAAAATAATGAATTAATATTGCTATAAGAAACTAACCTCAATGTCATAGCCAATCGTGCTGCAACAGGTACAGGATTTCTTATTCCACTCTCTTTAGAAATAAGAGGCCCAACCAAACCAAGCAGTTCCTCGAATTGACTAGGTGTCATACGTATATACTTTTTGAACATGTCTTTGTCCAAAGAAAGTGTGGGAAATATGGCTTCGTAAAAGCCATGAATCTGTCGCAGTAGAAATAACGGACGAATCCAAAAACTTTTCTTTTTATAAGGCCTCTTTTTCTTCTTTCTCATTTCATTAATGATAAGAGCTGCCGCAACTCTTTTTAGCTTCAATTTCTTTTTGTTTTCTCTGTCAATAATTCTCTGGCACTCAGCAATCCATGCCTCATATTTGTATGCACTAAACATTGGAATGATTATTATAATTTTAATTATTTATCCGCTCCGGCTCCTTCTAAAGACGTCACTGTAGCTCCCAAAGCGAATGTCTCCTCTAGCTTGACAAATCCTTTCGCAGCGTATGTATCTCAAGCGGTATTAAGTCCATGCCTTTGTTACCAACGCCACGTACTTGATCAGCTAGAATCACTTCCAAATTTTCCAACTAAAAAAATTACATTTATATACAAATTAATAAATAACGTTATTTTTGTGAATAATAATTTCATTGATATAATAAATATTTATAAACAAGCGCATTTTTCTCTCATGAGATTTAAGAAATTATATTAATTTTGTATTAATGCATTGCTCGCAGAAGTATTTATATGAGTCACTTTTTGATATATCATTAAAACTGATCTTTTACCATATATTCGTCGTGGTATCCTTGTTCCGCGTCTGGTATTCCCGTCGTTGGATCGCAATCCCTTGCCATAAATCGTAACGTTGTAGGAATGGTAACGACACTCGTTTGCGACCGCTAACAACCACTAACCGCAATACTCATAGACTCACATAGACTCCGCAGACGCTCAAACAAGCATAGATGCTGGCTATTTGACGCTATTGCCCCCTCCACAGATAGAGCGTAAAATGTAGTCACGTGACCAGATTTGACGCTCGAATCCAGCGTCGAGCGTCATCGTGAAATCGCACCTTAAGTCATTCGAGTCTTATCGTTCGAAGCGACAACTTGGTCAGTGAAAAAGTATACCTCTTACGGAAAAATAAGAACAATGGCTAGTTACAGTAAAGACGTTAATAATTCTAAGAAGAGGATGTTTACTCGCGATATTCCCGATAAGAGACGCGATTTCGAGGAAAGAAACGAGCAATTTCATATGCTGCTATCGACAACATATGGACTCAACAGCTACCGTACAAAGAGAATTCATGTGGGTCTGCATGTAACAAACGAGGGAGTTTTCGTGCTGATGGCCAAATTAACCGGCAACTATGCTGACGGCGTTTATTTCGACGAGAAATCGTGGCAGTAGTTTCAAGAGAACATGGGACTCGTGAACGAATATTTAAATGGAAAAACCAAATTGATGCCAAACTCTATCTTCATTAAAAATATCTCCGTCAATTTTACCTCAGCCTACGGAGCAAGATCTATATTGATGGCGTACATGGAAAACGAGGAGAATACTTCCACCAGGTCGGGTCAAAAAGAGAAACAGACGAGAAGAATTGTTCACCAGCGAAGAAACAAAAAACATATTCAGTGAAAATTGTGATGCAGAAACCTACATTTTTCGGATTGAAAAATATTGCGAAATGCATCGATGCGCATTTATCACATTTAAAATCAGTGGCTAATAATATTAACAATTGTGTGCGTTATCTTATTAAAGAAATATAGTTAAATTTTCCTAAAAGTTATATAGATAAAGATATTGTGAAATTAATTCTCAGAGGAAATTACAACGACATCGAGCGTAATGTACGTATGCAAATAACCGATTTAACTTTCCTCGATATATATTTTAATATAGTATTTTTAGCACTTATTTTGCTGCGTTTTACCGAAATCCGCCGTATAATTTTGTCGAATCGCGGATTGCAAATTTTATAACATTATTGTTTGAACAATTTATCTACAGCTTTACTTCATAAGCGACTAAATTGTATTTTTTTGTATGAAGAATTTGTAGAAATCAACATTTTTTGTAACTTCTACTTTCATCTAGTTTTCTTCAATCCTCACGTTCCCCGTAACAAATTCCTTTTTTATTATTTTTTCAGGATTAGTCAAAGTCTATCTCGTAAATATTTCGAATACGTTCAATGATAAAAACTTTTATCTAAAACGGAATAATCTTGTTACGGCACGTACGAACTTGTCCGTTTCTGTTTTCCACCCTTATTTTTCCAGGAAATAAGTCTCACGTAGGCAAAACTTTGTGAAACCAACCGTTTTTGATTATTTCGTAAACTCTTTGACCAGACACAAATTATAAAAAACTCTTTAATACAAAAAAAGGTTGGGTTGCGTTACGTTTTAGTACGAGCTTGACCATTTCTGTCTTTACTCCCTCCGCTCCTTTCCTCTCGTGGCAAGACGCTCTTGAAAATTCCGCTTTCCATCTTCGACATCTCAAGCGTCTTAATCTTTTTTGAGCTTAGCGTCGTCTACCACGTGCTTCCGCTAAAATGACGCTGATCAGTTCTTCCGCCATTTTTCTGTGTAATTTTAGCGGGATTGTCCCGATTGCGCACATTACAAATCGGACACGACAATATTTCCCGATCGGACACGGTGTCGATTGCACACGGTGCCGATCGGACACGGT